TGTGATGCAAAATCACATAAATAAAAATGTTTAATATCCTCAAATTATTTATTTGAATCTGTATAAAATGCTTGGAGTAACCAAAAACCTAGACACTAAGTATCCAAATTAACATTACTTCTGGGATGACCAAATACATAATTCATATTAAGATTTATTCTATTATATGAGTAAAACATAAGTAATTAAGTAATTTCTAAAGAACATAAACTATAAACAGTGATTTAATATCATATTTTACACTTAGTAAGACAAATAATATAAGACAAACTTATACAGGAAAATCCACTGATAGCATTAATATTTGCACTGAATTAATTAAAAGCTGTAAAACTAAAAACCAGGCGAGCATAGCACAATGGAACAAGCTGAATAATGTGGTGCTACGAAAATTTAGTGTAACGTGGCCCCTGCAGATTCAGCTGATCCCAATGTGCAAATTAGCAGATATGTTAGCAATGCATGTAAGCAAAAGCTTAGCTGATATGATTAATTTATTTCTTTCAATGTTATTTGTATTATAAAGGTGTAGTAATAGTAATTCAATAAAAATAATTATTCTCTAATTTACAAAATGAACAAATATTTGATTTTGCAAAATATAAAGATATTTTTAAATAATAACGTTCTTATAAATGCAAAAAGGAATACAAAATTATAAGTTAAAATCTAAAAATATTAGTTACCTCCAATAAGTATGAGATGTCCATGCTTATAGAAGTGTTCTATTACAAAATTTCTTTTATTGATTAATAAGAAATTGTAGTACAACATATAACAATACAAAATTTCTAGGAAACTAGTTCTATATTTGAATATTGCGTATACGGATAAATATAAAAAGGATATTTTTAATGCAATGCACAATATTTTGTGTGAAATATCGTTAAGTACTATTTTTATATATTTATAAAATGTACACCTAAATATACTTATAGGCTTTAAAGCAAAATTGATGTAGCTTTAAGCTATTGACAAAGGAATTAGATGTTCATTTTGTAGTTAATGTAGAATTATAAACTTTTCCGAACTCGGAACAAGTATTCATCAAAAGATAGATGTTTGTAAATAAATATTGTAAGTTACATACGTCTCGAGACGAATTTTCTTAAGTGCCACCAGCTTCCCAGTCAACTTATCTTTCGCTTTATAAACCACCCCATAGGTCCCTTCCCCTATTTTTTCGATTTTAACGAAGTCGTCCATAACCTCAACGCCACGTTCGACGTTGTCGGTGCTCTTTTCACACTCCGTTTTAGTTGCCAGTTTTTATCACTATTCTGATATTATTTGAAATTATATATTTATAGAACATTAACAAACAATAAGCGTAATTTCTAAACACTTTTACAGGTGTTGTTTAATGAAAATTCTTTGTTTATCAACACCGCAGTCACTTGACATGCGTGCTACGTTGCCGCCATTTTTGATGAGAAAATTTTAGAATCTCGATTCGAGAAGTCGATAAAATCGAGCAATACATAGATCGTTTCATTAGGTAATCGGTGACGAAATGCGGAAATAAATTCCATAACAGGTAGTTATATAGTTTATCACTTTTGCAACGTTATTATATAGTTAATTATGATTCTTCGTTAATTACAATGAAATCAGTCCTAGATTAAGTTTGAAAGTAACAAAAGAGTGAACAGATGGAGGACAGGAAATGACGAACAATAGGGGTTGAAAAAATCAGTGCGTGAAATACTATTTTTTCTTATTTATGGATGAAATAAGATGCAATAAATAACACATATCGTCGACAAATAATTTTTTTACATAATATTTGCATAGGAAAGAA